TGTAGAGATTGATGAATCCCAGGATCAGCAGATAAGTTGATAGCTCAAGTCCCAAGAACAGGAGGCCAGACGAACAGGAGGCAGCCACAGGATCCAGAGCGAGCAAAAAGCCAGAACGTCTGCTGACATTCAGATACAGGCCACACCCCAAGGAAATTCCCTTGCAACTGATTGGCTACTCACAGCAGACTCACATATAAACATTGAGAATCATGGCCCAGCCAAGCTGTCACACAATCTTAACCACCACATTAACCGCATAAATTTTTGGCAGTGTAGTGAGGTCCTTCCTCAAGGGGACCCGGCCTCCCCTTCATTCAAGGGGCTGTAGGTCTTTAAATTCGCTCATTTCTAGGAATTGATTAAGAGACCATGACTCTCTATTCTGATGATTTGAGTTAAGACTGCTGTTCACTCGACCTAAAATTCTTCCACTTGTACAGATCAAGTAAATATTTAGCAGATTTCCTATCTATTTCACTCCTAAGGGCACCATGACTAAGTAGCCAATGCCATAAGTCCATAGGAGTAAGATTATTCTGATTCCTGCTTTGACTCTGCTGTTCATTACAGTAACGAAGTCCACTTTGTCTTTGTTGATTGAGTGCTGCCACTTGGTCCCTACCACCACGGGGTCCAATTAGCCCCATTGTAGTTGGATGTCTTAAAGCAGTTAGGGCAGTTCCCACTGTCAAATCTGACTTACATAAAATAGCAATCACAGCAGTCTTCAAGAACACTGGGGCTCCCATCACAAATTTGTTCCTCACTGTTGTAGTACAAGGTGTGTCCTCTGGGCACTCCATGTGTGGGTCTGTGGGTCTAACCTGATAAATTCACTCTAACATGCCAATTTCCCTAAGCCTTTGGATACCTTCTTCTACAGGATACCAAGGCAGGTCTAGTAGTTTAACCTGATTTAGTGTAGGCCACCATGTAACCCATGGGTCAGTGCCCCAACCAAATAAACTGTTAGATCCTTTTCTATCCTCTCGAGCTGAAACACTGAATGAAGAACCTGTGCTTAGTGGGCCCATATCAATAAACTCAGACTGAGCCATCCTTATGTTCCTCGCGCTATCATGCTATACCCTTAATAGCCATTTCCACACATATTCCCCAACTTTCTGTTTGTACATATTAGAACTCAAGCAGTTCTTCTGGAGTGTAGCATACCTCCTCCTGGGTTACACTTTGTACTTCACCTTTTGCAGCTCACTGGGACTTAAGCCTAGTTAAAAGCCTAAAAACCAAAATGGGTTCAGTGGTGACATGTTTTGAGAACATTAAGCATTGCCTTGTAAGGCAAATTTCCACTTGTGCCTTGAAAGAAAGCCTTATTTCGTATAGTAACGGAGCTGATATTGCTGGAAACTAAACCCAGAGTCTTATCATATGAGTCACTGAATTATAACATCAACCAAATTCCCAACCTTGAGTGGTGTCTGAAGTTAAAGTGACGGCATTAATTGGGAAGAAATAGGATCCTGAAACTCTGGATGAGGACATGTGGGCAGATAATCAGGAAGCTGGGGACACTGAACCCCTAAATTCCATTGAATCACTCCTGCCAACACTCATTCCCATCTGAAGAGATTACTCCATCTTTGTCTGCTAAGTCACCCTCCCAGGTAAAACTATTAGCCCCTCGCAGCCATCTTATGAGATTAACCCAGGTGAGTCTGAGAAGCCTTTGTCTAAATCATTGCCTGGGGCATTGATCACAAATGCCCTGTAATTAGACAATGGAAAATTACAGTAACTTAATTTCCATATGACTACTAATGGCCCAGACCCTTCAGGAATGAAGGTTTGGGTCACACTACCAGGTAAAGAATCACAACTAGCTGAGGTGCTTGCTGAGGGCAAAGGGAATACAGAATGGGTGGTGGAAGAAGGTAGTTCTAAATACCAGTTACAACCATGTGAACAGCTGCAGAAAAAAAGACTGTAATTGTTATGAGTATTTCTTCCTTGTCGTGTGCATCAAATATTTTTGTTTTCTCCACTTATAAAATATAAAATGTAAACAGGGCTAGTGTGTTTTCGGTTTATGCGTGTTGGTTGAATCTTGTTAGGCAAAGTATGACTTTATGATTTTCTTTATTCAGAGATTATGTAAGGTTTAAGGAGATGTATACAGGTGCTAAGTTGACAAGGGGTAGACTGTGATCATTAAGGTTGTGTGTCAACTTGGCTGGGCCATGATTCTCAGTGGTTTGGCAGTTATGATGTAGTTTGTCAGTCGTATAACGACGAAATCACCTCCATGATGAGATCTGCTCTGAGTAGCCAATAAGTTGAAAGGGAGTTTCCTTGGGTGCACAGCCTGCATTCAATATAGGTGGACTTTCTGGCAAGGCTCTCAGGCATTTGCTTGCTCTGGATCCTTTCTCTACGTATATAGACACCTCACTAGTTTTACTTCTCTAGAGAATCCAGCCTAAGACAGACAGCATCCTTTTAACTTATGAGATCTCTCCTAGCCTTGGTTGGCTAGGATCAAAGAGAGAAAACGTTGCGTGGGCAGCTAGTGTCGATGATTGAAAAGTGGGTAAATGGGGATTTGATTAACTTTACATTTTGGAGATTGGATTTATATTGCTTTTTATCTGTGAATATTCTTATTTTGGGATGAGATTTTACAAGAAAACAGTTTTTCTCAGCTTAAATAAAATTCTATATGACATAAACACAGTAACACCTCATAAAGATATCTGGAGAGTGATATGTACTGGTTCATATATACAGTGCATTCTCCCATTAACAGACTGTCACAAATCAATAATTTGAAATATTTGTTCTAAGTTGTTTTAAGCTAAATAAATAATCATAAGTATTACTAAAAATTACTCACAAAACTAATAATTACACTGAAATAAGGTAACTTTTTACTTCCCAAGAGCGTACATATTCTTTATTCTAGTAGGCTTTTTTAGCATTATTATAAAATTTAAATAGTAAATATACTGAATATCTTAGAGGCAAGACACCAAAACCAACCACTCTGGCTGTCTCAATATTAAGGAAAGATATTGCTACCATCATCCAAATTACTGATTTCTTAGAGGAAATCACACATTCACCCAGCTACATCTTATCTTTACCTTCAGAATTCCAAGATTAAAAAAAAAAAAATTCCTAAGAGTAAACGTGTATTACATATGCAGAAACTGTGTGCATGGTATTTTTAAAGCATAATATAGGAGATATTAAAAGTCAGCAATGGGTTAAAAAAAAAAAGTTGTGTTCCAAAGGAGACCAATTATATTCAGTGTACAGATATGACCCATATCAAGTATATGCATAAAACACTATTGGCCCCAACTACTGTTACCAAATTCAATACTGTAGCATACCATATGAGATGATAACTGAGGATCAAAGCTCCTATAGCTCATTATGAGTTTCTTTGTCTTATACACAAAGTATAATATAATATGAATTAAGGAGCCCACATGCCATAGTGGAGCCCTGGTGGCTCCGTGGTTAAGAGCTCGGCTGCTAACCAAAAGGTCAGTAGTTCAAACCCACCAGCTGCTCCCTGGAAACCCTATGGAGCAGTTCTACTCTGTCATTTAGGGTCGTTATGAGTCAGAATCGTATAGTAACGGAGGTATAGGAGGTATAGCAACAGGTTTCTTTTTTTTTTTTTGGTGGCACAGTGGATAAGCATTCAGCTGGTAAGTGAAAGACTGGCGGTTCGAACCTACCAACTGCTCCACAGAAGAAAGATGTGGCAGTCTGCTTCAGTAAAGAGTACAGCCTTGAAAACCCACTGGGACAGTTCTACTCTGTCCTATAGGGTTACTATGAGTTGGAATTAACTTGATGGCAACGAGTTTATAATATGAATTAATGAAGCTAGTTACCATTACTGTATTTTTAAAAAGTATAGTTGAACCAGAAAAGAAGGAAAATATAATAGATTATATTTTGTTTGAATAAATGATGTTAAGATAAGAGTACATTTTTAAATCTCTTCTATTTCGGAAAAGAGCAGGAATAAATCTAAATTGAAGAAGTTGGTAAGATTAAAGTTTGATAAGCTACAACAAAAGGAAAAACACTCTGGTCTCTATAGAAGGGTATGCCAAATACAAAGTAAAATAATTCGTAAATGGCCTTTACTATGTAGAGCTAAATAAGGTAAAGGCTCACACCAGTTCTTGTTAATGAGAACAAGCACATTTTTCCTTTTTAAAGGTAGGTTGGAATGAAATGGAAATAGACAGGTGAGGAGAGGGGGATCTAGTTACATTGTCACAGTGAACTTCATTACATACACGAAAAGAAAACCCACAACTCTAGAAAACAACATGGGTGACAGGCAGGGATTTGGCACAAATGCGTCTAAGATAATTTGATAAAGAGGAATGGAAGGAAACTAACATTTATTAAATACCTACTGTGCTATTTTAAGGAACAAGATTTGGCTTACTTGAATATAGTCATTTGTTTTCAATAACACATCTCATTGCCCTTTGAACAAGAGTCCTTTTAAATCATATTATTTCTTCAGTCTCAGTCACACTTTCAATTGATTCTATTAGTATTTGTGAAATTTAAGTAGGCATTAAGTACTGCTGTGGAGGTATACTATAACCTTAAGAACTATTGCTTTTAACTTTCTAAAGCATTTTGAACAATCTTCCACCCTGAGAATATTATAAAACTTCATAGAAAATGTCAAAATGTGTCTATATCCAGCAAGTTTTTTCTTCATTTATGTGTATATTTGTTTCATAAATGAAAATATCATATTTTTCAAAACAGACACATTGGGTCTCAGGGTAAGACTACCTCAGTCACTGGATATGCTCAGCTGACAAATTATGGATACTTTAAGGAATGTTTTCTATAGGGTCACAATGAGTCAGAATCAACTCGACAGCAACGAGTTTGGTTTTTTTGGTTTCATGATTCTAGATTACACTGAGACGCCCAAGATACATAAATTGTTTTCAGGACCCATGTTTTACATTTACTTCCATACTTACATTATACTCAGTCACTACTCCTTTATAAACTTCATAAAATTCTTCAACATTAACCCGATCCATGTTGAACTACATTAAAAAATAAGTAAGTAAATAAGCCAACCAACGAAAGAAAAATAAATGAACCATACTTAGCAGTCACATTTATAATTTCTTGGATATATTTTGTTTACATTAAAATATAAACACTTCATAAATTAAATACTCTTTGAAGCAAAAGTGTTATTAAAGATCACCTTATCAGTAATGAAAACGGCCAACAGTTACTGAGTACTTAATGTGTCAAGTATTGTTCTGAGTTCTATACATGCATCATCTCATTTAATCCTTACAACAAGCCTATGACAAAGGTAGTGTTAACAGTCTCAATTCACAGATGTGGTTAATAAGGCTCAGAGGGGTTACATAACCTTCCCAAATATGCATTCCATCTCAGACAATCTGACCCCATTGATCATGCTCTTACCCACCACATTATACGTCTCTCCCCGAATAAAACCTCATTCTAGATACAAAATGAAAGAATTATATACAATGTAATGTTGTTTGTTGATAGATTCTTGGCACAAGAAAAAATATCATTAGAGAAAAGTACTTTAGACTTTGTAGAAAGAGCTGAAAATAATACTTTTTTCCTTCCAAGCATTCAGGAAAATTCCCAGTTAGTCTGGTTCATAATAAAGTACTTATATAAGCCATCTGGAATTCTTTTATTACTCTTCAAAAAATTTTTGAGTAAGGGTATGCTTATAAGATAAGCCTGCAAAAACTCATGCTTATAAAGGCTGGATTCAAATTTAGTTTAAAAAAAAAAATTCATTAAGTTCTAGGGTCTCAAGAACTAATACCTTAATCTAAAAAAAAAAAAAAGCCTCAGAATTTCCAATTTTATGTTTCCCTCTGCTTCTTTATTGTTGCCAAGACTGAAGATCACTGAGAAATTTCTGCCTACATAAACAATATTCAGGCTGGGAGGATTTATCTTCATAGGCAACATAACTATTACAGAGAGGGAATTGTTTATTTTCAGTGTTTTATGATACAGTCACATAATTTTTTGTACTATTAATACAATAGAATAATAATAGATATCGTTTATTATTTTGTAATTTGTGCTGGAAACTCTACAAGGCATTGTGCATGGTTACTTCATTTAATCCAAAGAATAACCAGTTGAGGCATATAATAATGTTCTCATTGCACAGAGGAGAAAACTGAAGCTAAGAATTCTTGAAATTTGGCCAAGGTCACATACCCAGAAATCAGCTGACGCAGGATTTAGCATTTTCTGACTCCAAAAATCAATGAGTGGGGATGCAGGGGTTTAAAGCACTTGGCTGCTAATCGAAAGGTTGGTGGTTCAAACCCACCAGTTGCTCCATGGGAGAAAGATGTGGTAGTCTGCTTCTGTAAAGGTTTACAGCCTCGGAAACTCTAAGGGCAGCTCTACTCTGTCCTGCAGGGTCTCTATGACAGCAGTAGGTGGGGTGGTATGCTTGCCACTATACTACCAGGACCTCCCCCATAAGTTCAATTAATCATTGTTTTATTATTCTTTTTCTCATTAAACACCTACTATGGCCAATCACTGTGCTAAGTTGTAGGCCTTAAGTGAGGTTAATGGTGAAAGCTAAAATATCCCCAGTAATTATTTTTTAAGTGGGCTTAGGTCATTTCTAGAAAGTTTTGGCTAATAATTTCTTTCTATTCCTAGGTAAGACTCTTCAAATATCAATTTTCTTGTCAGTCTTCAAGTTCTGCCTGATGACTCTGCAAACCAGTTGATAATATCTAGCCCTTTCTTTTTTGGTTTATGGACATTCCCACCTATCAGGGACACAAAACAGACAGAACACCCCAATTAGTGTCCTATCTACCCTGACCCCTAATTTTGGGTGATACTAAAACTTCATAGAACTCAAAAGCAATTCCTCTTCAGAAAAAGTGAATATAAATAATATTGGTTAAATAAATTATCAGCTCAAAAATGAGTATTTTGATATTTCACTAAATAGTATAAACTTCCTAGCCTTCAAACACTGTACAAACCAAGTTGTTTATCTGATTCGTACAATAATATGGTATCTGATTTCTTGTCAAATGGCATCAGTGAGTACAGCACAAGTGGATGTGATTTCTTTAACGAAGGGTTTCCTAGAAATCTGTCAGTAGAGCAATTTAAACAAGTGTGGGCTCTGGAGAGCCAGTGGAGCAACTGCCAACACGGGCTGCTCTATGCTCACTCCAAAGAAGGTTCTAAGGGAAAGTAGAGAAACCAACAAAAGGCATTGATGAGAGAAAAGTTCACAACTGATTCTCTTCTTTCATTCTTTGCTTAGTCAAGAATTCAAAGAGAGATAACTCACTATAACTGCTCAGCTTTCTTTTATTTTACTTTTATAAGGAACAAATACATTTTTTGGTCTTATTAAAACTCAGGATTTGTATAAATTTATCTTAAGTTTGACTATTAGCTCTCTCAATGGAAGATTATATGGGTAAAATCATTTAAAAATATTTTTTGATTATAAGGAGGTCATTGAGTTCAATAAATATTTTTCATGGGATGGATTCATGAATGCACAGAGAAAATTCAATACAAAATATTTTAAAATTTTATTTTTAAAAATTGCTTAACAGTTATGATTCATTGCAAGCTACCTACCATCTGCATAGCTGAGATATCAAAACCTGCCTCTCGGATAGCCATCAGGATCTTTCCCAGCAGTCCTGTAAATGCAGAACAAAGGAGTACAAAAATACAAAATTTCTAAGGCATTTCACTTTCTTAGAAATGTAAATTTTTCTATATCAAAGCACTTTGCTTATACTCTATATGAAGAAATCACACTTTTTTCTTTTTTTGCAGGAGAAACTAAATTCCTAACACTGAGCATTACATTTACCCATCATTTAAGTCACTTAATAGTAAGTGCTTCAAGAATATGAACATTGGCCCCAAGAACACTGCAAAAAACTTTTAACGTACACTTTCCGCCATTAAGGACTCTGAAGTCTAGCGAGCTAGAGAACGTGAAAATCAAATAATTAAAAATGGCTTAAGAACATGAGAAACTTAACTAATGTCACTGAATTGTATATGTGAAGAATGTTGAAAAGGCACACAATTTGTTACATATATACTTACCATAAAAAACTTAACACAACAGCATTACAAAAAAATAAATGCCAAAGTGCTAGCTAGATACAGGGGAAGCTTAAAGGAGGAGGTCAAAGAAGAAGAAAAATCAAATTAATATTGAAGAGGTGAACAGAAGCTTCAAAGGGCAAATAAGAACATGAACTAGGCCTTAGGGCCTGTAAATAGCTGGGCTAGCATAGGGGCAGGAGTACAAAAGGTGAGAAGGTAAAAATTGGGAACTTCTGAGCATATTCACATTGACAGTAAAAAGAAAGGGAAAAAAAAGCTGAAAAGGAAAAAAAGATTAAATCCAAATTGATAAAGGAATTGGTTTTCATCCTACACCTGAATTATTTTCATAATAGGGTCTATAGACTATGAGGGTCTAGGACTGATTTTGAGATCATCAGTTTTGTATAAAAATCTTCTAATTTTCTTTTTTTAAAAAGTCATTTAAAATGTTCTCTCACAACTACACACACACACACACACACTAGATCATTTAGATGTTTACTTAACTAAAAACCCGTTGCCGTCGAGTTCATTCCAACTCATAGTGACCCTATCGGGCAGAGCAGAACTGCCCCATAGGGTTTCCAAGGAGCGGCTGGTGGATTTGAACTGCTGAGCTTTTGGTTAGCAGCCAAATGCTAAACCACTGTGCCACCAGGGCTGCAGATGTTTACCTAGTGATTCTAAATCACCAAGCAGTATCAGTGTCCGAATAAGCCTTTTTATTTACTATATTACTGTGGTCAGGTAGTGCTATTTTAATTATAGCAGGCTAAGAAATGAGAAAAAGACAGAGGTGGATCTATTTCTCAAATGATATTATAGCATGCTGCAGATACAAAGTTTTCTCAAAAGTTCAGAGAGAAAAGAGGTGGGCTGTTGAGTCATCTCATCAGAACAGACCCACGCCTAGCAGAGTGGTCTGTACCATATTTATATTGAGCTTGGTGACTCAGTTTTGGCAAACAACATCTTTTGTTACATTAATGTTGTTAGCTTAAACATTGGGTTTATAGTTTAGTTTGTAATTAATTTGTAAATTGACAGAAATCATTGTTTTAACAGACTCTCCATGTGATCCTGTCACATGCTGAAGTAAAATAACCACTAAAAAATAATAAATTAAAATAGAATTCTAAGGAAAAGAGAAGCATAAGAGCAAAACAACCAAAGGGAAAAATAGAAGACAAGCAGTAAAATGGTAGACCTAAAACCAATCATATCAACAATTGCATTATATTTTAACAGACTGAAAGTTCCCACAAAATAGGAAGAAATTTCAGATGGATAAAAAAAACAAGACACGACTATATAAGAAACCAACTTTAAATATAAAGACACTGGTAAATGGATTGAAATTGGTAAACTGAAAGTTAATGGATGAAAAAAAATATATACCATGCAAACAATAAGCATAAGAAGGCTGGAGTGGTTATTTTAATTTCAGATAAAGCAGAATTCAAGACAAAGAGTTTACCAGAGATAAAAATCCCAAGAGGCATTGGGAGACAGTATTTTAGACAGAAAGCTAGAGGAAAATGAATATTCCTGGAGAAAGGAGCACAGAGCAAAAGTACAGAGATGTGAAAACAGCATGGTCCTTTGAGGAAAAGGCAAGTATTTTCATTTCACTGAATAATGGAGCCGAAGGGAAATGAGACAGGAGAGGAGATGGGACAGGTAGCAGAAGTCATATGATGAGGGATTTATATACGGAGGTTTGATTTTATCCTGTTAACCAGAACTCCTCAAGGTTTTTGGTCTCATACACCCTTACACTTTTAGAAATTACTACAGACTCTAAGGAGCTTTTATATACAAGTTATATCTATAAATATTTACAAATTAAAACTGAGAAAATATAAAAATATTTATTAATTCATTTAATACATAACAATACTAAATTCTTTAAATGTTAATATATTTTTATGAAAAAATGACTATTTTCCAAAAAGCATCAATGAAAAGAGTAGCATAGTTTTAAATTTTTAAAAATCTGTTTAACATCTGACAATGGAAGGTAGTTGTATTCGCATATCTGCTTCTGTTTTCAATCTGTTGCAATGTGTTGTTTTAGTTTAAATATATTTAGTTGGTATTATGAATTGAATTGCTGAGGGTAACGGAAATATGGAATGGGTGGTGGAAGAAGGTAGTTCTAAATAACAGTTACAAGCATGTGACCAGATGTAGAAATGAGGACTGTAATAGTCATGAGTACTTCTTTGTGTTATTATACATGTGCATGTGCATATATATGTATATACATAACAATTACTTTTGTTTTCTTCTCTCGCTTATAAAAGATAAGATGTAAACAGGGCTAGTGAGTTTTAGGTTGCACTCATGTTCACTGTATCATGTTAGGCGTTAAGTATGACTTTATAATTGTCATTATTTAGAGATTATATATGGTTTAAGGAGATATGTACAGATGCTAAGTTGACAAGGAGTGACTGTGATGGTTAATGTTGTATGTCAGTTTGGCTAGGCCATGATTTCCAGTATTGTGTAATTATCCTCCATTTTGTGATCTGATGTAACTGTCCTCCATTTTATGGTACTGTGTACTTATCCTCCATTTTATGTGTTATAAATCCTAAACCTCTATATGTTAATGAGGCAGGGTTAGTGTGGGGTGCATCTTGAGTCATACCCTTACTAAAGGGTGTGACTTAAGTCACCACCTTACTCAAGTCACATCCTTACTCAAGTCACAGCCTTACTCAAGTATCTGATATAAGGAGAGTTTCCTTGAGGGTCTGACCTGCATCCAATATACATGGATGTTCTGGCAAAACTCGCCCTGGATCCTGCATCTGGCTTGTCATCATCTGACATCCGGTTCTTGGTACTTCAGCCAGCAGCCTGCCATCTGACCTGCTGATTTTGGGATGGGCCAGCTTCTGCAGCCGTGTGAGCCAGGAGTCTACCATCTCACCTGCCGATTCTGGGATCTGCCAGGTTCTGCAACCTCATGGGCCAGAAGCCTATCATCTGACCTGCTGATTTTGGATTCATCAGCCCCCACATGAGTCAGGAGAAGCCTCCAGCCTGATGCCTGGTCCATAGATTTGGGACTTGCCAACCTCCACAACCACGTGAGCCATTTCCTTGAGGTAAATCTCTCTATATATATTTATATATATGTGTGTGTGTATATATATATATATATATATATATGCTTCACTGGTTTTACTTCTCTAGAGATTCCAGCCTAAGACAGTATTGCTTTATGTTTCTAATAAAGTTTAAGAAACAGGACTCTATGAAACAATAAATAAATAAGGAAAAAAAAACACGAAAAGCAAGCTGGCTGAGACGTGGGATGAGATGAAAAGTAAAGTGAAAGAGATAAGGAGAAGTTAGAGTGAAATAGTGAGTAGAAGGAAAGGCTTCATCTATATTTAAGATGCTGGAACACTATAATTTAAGATTTAGCATGCCCACAAACATCCTTATAACACAAGTCAGCATTTCATAGATATAGAACACAGACATATAGTGTTACATATATCACCCATGATTGAAGATTAAATCAGTGGCTAGGATTCCAGGTATATTAAACCCCAAGGTAAAGTATACTGCCCATGACTGGATAAAATGTAAGTGTCCTTGTGTGTTTCATATCTGCTGCTTAGAACAAAGCTTTTTAAAGTTCATTTTTGCTTTGTGCTAAAATCTAATTAAACCTTAGAGCAAAAAAGCTGTACTTTTTTTCCCTAATACTTCAGAAGTAGTAAAACTTAACAGTTAAGGTAGTAGACTTTCAGGGTTCAAGTCCCAGACCCACCATTTATGTAAAGATGTGACCTTCAGGAAATTACTTAACCTCTCTGTGGTCTCAGTTTCTTTCCTCATCTGTGAAAAGGGGCTAATATTGACCCTACAGGGTTGTTATGAGAATTACATGAGTCTCTATATGTAAAATTCAAAAGCAAGTGGCACACAGCACTATTTAAGTATATGTTAGTAGTGGCAGAGTAATATTAGCGCCAATAATAGTCATAAGTGAGTTAGGAGGAATTCCGCTGATTTTGTAGCTTTGCTTATAAAACTATCATGAATTTGATTTTTAGCAGCATTGTTAAAATGTAAACATTTTACATTGTCCTATTTCACAAGAAAACATTGTGCAGCCCAGGCATTTCAAGGAGACTAATGAGAATGCCTGGGTCACACTTAGTAAGGTGGCTGTGATGACCGATGAGAAACAAGCAGGGTCACAGCAGTCTCCAGCTGCAGGGCCAGCAGAACCTGGCAGACCCACTGGTTCTCACAAGGAAAGGCACTGTTCTCTGAGGCCACATGCCCAGTGACACAGGCTAGAGGAAGTCAGGGTAAGAAAAGAGAAACAAAGGGATATTTTGCTGGTGGGAACGTAAAACAGTAAAGTCACCCTATAAAACACTCCGAAATGGAACCATTTCTTTAAAAAAAAAAAAAAAAAAAAAAAAAAAAACTAAGTAACTAAACATACAATTACCATTGTTATTAGGTGCCATCAAGTCAGCTCTGACACACAGTAACCCTATGTACAACAGAACAAAACGCTGCCCGAACCTCACCATCCTCA